TCACTTAGTGGGACTGTTACGCCGCCAGATACAACGATTAATGGCCAATCTACTGTTGGAAACTCAACGTACACCACTGATAATCACGGATTTGCTTTTTTACTAACTACTTCTAATTCAGTCGCTGTTGACAATTGTCTTTTGTGTCCATCAATAAGCTATCTTAATGCAAGTCTTAAAAGTGACACTTACACCCTTGGATTCGCTAATCACAATAATGTAGACTACTATCTTTCTATTTCATTAAAATTAAGTCCTTCGGTAACAAGTCCTTCGGTAACAAGCCCTTCGGCAACAAGTCCTTCGGTAACAAGTCCTTCGGTAACAAGTCCATCACCCAATAATACATTTCTTACCATGTATAATAAATTGCTTGCCAATAAGACATTGCTTATTGTTGTTTGCGTTGGTGCTGGTGTTTTTATTTTAGTTATTGTATGTTGTTGCATTCGCTGCTGTTGTTAAATGACGGGTTTTGACATTATTACTTGCAAGTATATATATATATATATATATAAATATTGATTATAGTTTAGTATATCTATGTACATCTTATAAGTAAATTATACTGCATATAAGTTTTTTTTATTAACTCATAATTTTGATCATGTAAACTGTAATCATATATATCTAAATTACTGTAAATTATTAATTGACCCAGCTTAATTTTAATTTTTATTTATATTGTAAGTGAATTTTAGTATATTCAACAAAATTAATATTAGTTTTATAATTTTAGAACAAATAATATACTTAGTAAGAGAATATTAATTGATAATAGGTTATATAATGAGTCAAGAAAAGCAGAGATCTGGAGCATAGCGGGCTTTAAATCTGATTGGTCAATCATTGAAATGTATAGTTACATATACACCGCATATAACAGCTGACTTTAAACGAATTGGCAGCCATGAAAACGAATTGTCAAAGGATGCGGCATATAAATTCTGAAACTACACCTTCTATTCTATCTACAGTAAAAATAATCCGAAGAAAGGTCAAATAATCCAGAAGTTAGCTATATAAAGTATTTTTCGGCTCTTCGCTGCTAGTAATTCACAAGAATCTACAAGAACCTACAAGACTACCTCTAGTAAACATTTTTTTTAGTAAGTTACAAGAAAGATGGCTTCTATTGAAAATACCCAGTTTCAAGCTTCCGGCGTTGAAAAGAAAGGTAAGAGAAAATTAACCTGCGACCTTGAAGGTGAGGATGATGTTGTATGTGACTATGAATTGAATGGTGTTCGTGTAGTTTCTGAGAAAGTAACTATACCTGATTCGAGCGAACACTTAGATTTGGTTAACAAAGCATTATGTAGAAAACATTATAATAAGTTAATAGTAAATGCAAAACATGCAAAAAATGTAAAAAAAGCTAAAACTTGTTCTCATCCTAAACATGAGACATATATTCTTACAGCTCAGAAAGGTCCAAAAGGGAATACGTTTAAGCAGGTTCCAAAACGGCTTATTGAGTTCTTTAACTTGCCACCAACGGCTAAAACGTGTCGCCACTGTTTGTATAAGACCGATACTGATCCAGAATATGTAAATTTGCCGGACTATCCGTGGTGTACGTTGAGTTTCCAACAGTAGATTGGCCATTAATCGTTGTATCTGGCGGCGTAACAGTCCCACTAAGTGA